GCTGGCGGCTTACCTCACTAGGCGGTGGGGGGGTCCTGGGCCATGGGACTTTGCCACAGCCACTGGGCGTCAGTTCTTGGTGGGGGTCAGATTAGTGCTTCCCTCTGGCTCTGAGGTCCAGGCATGGCTTGTATAGCCACGTCAGGGGTATGGCCGTGTGCGTAGATGTGACGCTGAACCCATCTGTCTACCCGTCCATCGGGCTCTTGGCCCCTTCTGTGGGCCAGGCACCGGGCTCTGGGGCTTCAGTGGGACCCAGGCCCATGGGGAGTGCTAGGGATACAAACACATGTGACACCCTGGTGGGCAAGGCTGTGCCACTGACTTGGAGATTGCAGAGGAGGGGGTGAGGTTCTAGATGGTTCTGTTTTCAGAGGATGAGGGAGCATTTGTTGGAGAGGATATAGTTTCCAGGTGGAGAAGATTGCGCGTACTCAGGGTGGGGCACGGTGGTCCTGTGTGACAGGCCCAGAGTCGAGGGCTCAGGGCAGCAAGCAGGGGCCAGACCCCATACACTCAGCCAGGGAACCAGCCTGGCCTCTGCTTCGTGGTGGAAATGGCTGGACGGAGCCAAGGAAGGGCTGGCCAGGGGTGGGAACCAGGGTCCGGAGGTGGGCCCAGCAAGTCTGGGCCCAGCAAGGCTGGGTGTGGGCTCCGACCCCGTGCACGGGAAGGGTGGGAGGTGGTGAGGCTGTGGAAACCCGCTCAGATTTACCCTATCCAGCTGGATGCCTCACACAGAGCGAGCCTCGCCCTGCTGGCACGCCCAGGACTTCAAACTGACTGTGAATTCATCCAGGGGAAGAACTTCATCCAGGGGAAGAACTTCAGCCAGTCCCCGTGTAAAATAGTTTCCCACGGCTGCCCTAACAAAGTACCACAAGCTGCGGGCTGAAAAAAACAGAAATTTATTCTCACAGTCCTGGGGCCAGACTCCAAAATCAAGGTGTCAGCAGGGCCACGCTCCCACGGGAGGCTCCAGGGGAGAATCCTTCCTTCCTCCCTTGTCTTCCAGCCTCTAGTGGCTGCCTGCAGCCCTCAGCTTCCTTGGTTTATGGCCACATCACTCCAATCTCTGCTTCTGTCTTCACATCACCTTCTCCTCTGTGTCTTTTCTCTCTCTCTTTTAATTTTTTTTATTTTATAATTTTTTTTTTTTTGCGGTACGCGGGCCTCTCACTGCTGTGGCCTCTCCCGTTGCGGAGCACAGGCTCTGGACGCGCAGGCTCAGCGGCCATGGCTCACGGGCCCAGCCGCTCCGCGGCATGTGGGATCTTCCCGGACCGGGGCACGAACCCGCGTCCCCTGCATCGGCAGGCGGACTCTCAACCACTGCGCCACCAGGGAAGCCCTCTCTTTTTATTTTTAAGTTTAAGGCACACAGCATGATGGTTGATTTGCATATACTGTGAGATGATTCCCACAATAGGGTTCAACTAACATCCACCTTCTTATACAGAGACAATAAAAAGAAAAGAAAAAAGGGAAAACATGTTTCCTTGTGATGAGAACTCTTAGGATTTACTTTCTTTACAACTTCCCTGCACATCATACAGCACTGTTGGCTACAGTCACCGTGTTGCAATTCCACCCCCAGGACCTATTTATTTCATAACTGGAAGCTTGTACCTTTTGACCACCTTCCTGCAATTCCACCCTCCGCCTCTGGTAACCGCAAGTCTGATCTCTTTTTCCGGGTTTTTTTTCCCCCTTCTCTTTTGTCTGTTATAAGGATGCTTGTTGTTGGATTTAGGGCCCATGGTAAGATCCTTAATTACATATGCAAAGATCCTTTTTCCGAATAAGGTCATGGTCATAGTTCCCAGGGTCTAGGACTTGGACATATGTCTCTGGGGGCCCCCACTCAGCCCACTACACCGGGTGGCGTGACCAGGACCCTGCCCTCTATGCCACCCGCTCCCTCTGCCCAGCTGGATGGCACCCAGGACCAAATACCCGGGAATCCTTGCAGCCCTGCGCAGGAAGGCAGCTTACAGCACCTGTGCAGAGAGGAGTGAGGCTCAGACAGGGGAAGGGCTGGTGGCCCTGGCCCTGGAGGGTGGGGACTAAGTAGGTGGGTGGCTGTGGGTGGCCTTGGGCCCTTCCTTTGTGAGGGACTGATGCAAAGCGTCTTATTTTGAGAGCTTGAGGTTTTCACACGAATGGAGGTGCCAGCCACCCTTCCCTGGCCCCAGGGCCCTCCCTGAGCCTGGCAGGCCCTCCTTGGCATGAAGGTGACAGGTGGGCACTGGACTGGGCACAGGGCTCTGGGAGACTGCGGGAGACACCGGGCTGGGGTTCTCAGGGACGTGGTTCCAGTCCCCACACCTCTGTTCCCTGACCATTGGCCCGGCCAGTGCCATGCTCTTTGAACCCTAGCATCCCCAGGGTCACCGCAGGTGAGTGGGCTGTGAGCATCAGGGTGGGGCAGGCTCCATGGCCTGCTGCAGAGGTGGTGGGCATTTGCCTGGGCTTTTGCCTGGCTCCAGGGCAGGCTGAGGACCCCTGGAACCCAGAAGGCTCTCCCTTCCACTTTTTCAGGCCGACTCTTGGCCCCTGCCCCGCCGCTGTCTAGTCCCACCCACCCTGCTAAGTGTGCTGCGTCCGGCATGGTGGGTGGTCCGCAAGCCTGGAACTTAGAGGCAGCCGCCCTGGGAGCTGGGGGAGGAGCTGCAAGTTGGGGAGGGTTGGGTGGAAGACCAGAGCTGCTGAGGGCAGGGACCCCAGCCCCACACATCTTGCTGCTTGGGGGCTGGTTATTCTCAGCACAGTGTGAAAGGTCGTGGAGCTCCCACTATTGAAGGAGGGACCCTGAATGTCCTCTGTTTGAGGAATGTGAATCGCTGCGTCATTTGCTGCAGGGATGAAATGCTGCCTCGGGAGATGGGAGGGCACAGGGAGGAACAGAGGCCTGGAGTGGCGGGGCCTTCAGAGGTCGCAAAGCAACCCCGGGAATCCTGACCTCAGACTCCCAGAGGGAGTAGGGCTGGGGAAGGAGTCGACGCAGGTCTGACTTCCACGGAGACCCCTGTTCCTCTGCTCGGGCGTGACTGCCCCTAGGCCTCTTAGTGCTGAGCCGGGGCTCCAGCGGGTGTGGCCCTCTGGCTACTCTGCCTCTGCTGTGGATAGTACTTGGTGGCCCTCCTGGGGCAGGGGCAAGGGGAGGCTGTGGCTCCTGGACCCCAGGCCTCCTGATCCATCCTTCTGTCTCTCCAGTGAGGGATGGGATGTCCCAGTGAGAGCCTGGCGGCCTCCCGTTTCGGGCAGTTCTCATCTGCAGGCCTGTGCCCACACCCTCCCCCTCCCCCCCTGCCGCCCGCCCCCCCAGCCTCCCCCGGCTCTGGCCACTTGCTGCCCGGACTTTGACTTCCTCAGGCCACCCCTGCCCCAGCAAACTCCTTCTCAGTCAAACCTGGCCCCTCGTCTGGAGGCCTCCCCTGATCCAGTGCCTGCTGGGCACCTCCTCTGGACTTCACGGCCCCTTGAAGCCCCTGCCCCGTCCCAGAACTGCTCCACTGGCTTGTCCTGGCTGCCCAAGCCCCAGGGGCTCCTAACCTGCTATTTTATCTCAACCCTCAGCACTGATGAAGAAACTAAGGCTCAGAGAGGCTAAGTCAGTAGCTTGAGGCCCACAGTTGGCAGAGGATAGAGGTGGGCGGGGTGCCCAGCTGAGTCTGACTGGGAGCCCTCTCCCCACTCTGGGCAGGCTGCGAAGGGGAAGGGCAGGGGGCCCCACTGAACCTCCCCATTGCCACCACCCGTCCATCTGTTGTGGTCAGCTTTCTCCTGAAGGCATGGCCTGCCCACTGCCACCGAGGGCACTGAGGCTGCGGAGGCCAGGGTCCCGCCCTGAGGACAGCTCGTACACAACAGCCCCATCCTCCAGGAGATAGCAGGTAGTCTCACACCCCAGACTGGCCCCCGGGTGGTGCGGGGACCTTGGCAGGGGTCTGGGGCTGTGCACACATTGGGAGATGGAGGCCCCCCAGCCAGGGCCGGCCTCCCTCAGGCCCCGACACACAGGGATGCAGGCTGACTAGGCACTGGCACAGCTGGCTGTGGGGCTATGCCCTGGTAAACCTGGCGGGCAGGACGAGGCCTTTGCAACGCCCGTAGTCTGTGGCCTGTGTCACCCTCAAATCCTGCCGTGGCGTGGCGCCAAAGCACTCCTTCCTCCAGCTGGTCTTGTCCTCTCTGGGCGAGGTGTGACCTTGAGACCCAAGCTCGGGGGAGGAGAGGCAGGGGGCCTGGGGGCTCAGCACCGAGCAGCCTGGGCTTGAATCCCTGCTCCCAGCTTCCTGGCTGTGGACCCGGGCGGGGGAGGAAGCCCGGCTTGGTGGGGCCGAGCAGGCTTGGGAGCGACCCGGTCAGGCACCAGGGAGTGACAGGACTGTGCTTTGCCACTGGGGCTGTAAGTGCTTTCTAGCCAGCCAGCTGTTCACAGAGGCAGCAGAGAGTGGCGATCACTGCTCTGTCACAGCAGCTCTGTCACAGAGGCTGTGCCTGGCATGGGGGGATGGGGAGGGGCAGAAGGCTTGGGGGATGGAGGGAAGGTGACGGGCCGACGCCTGGGCCCAGGCTTGGAACCCATCCCTTGGTCCCTTGGTGTCAAAGGGCAGAGAGGTGGCCACCTTGAAACGCAGAAGGCTCTGGTGCCAGAGGCACAGCTGCGCCGTGTAGCCTCGGAAGGCAGAACTGGGCAGCGGCGCCCGTGGTGGTGGTGGGAGCATGCCCGGGTAGTAGTGAGCTCCCCGTGCGGGGCATAAGCACCGACTTCTTGTGTGGCTGTCTCTGGGGTCAGGGAGGCCAGGCCTGGCGCCCTGGGCTTTGGGGCTTCAGCGATTTGCTGGGAAGAAGTCAAACGTACAGAGGTGGCCCTGGGGGGGACCGGCGGGGAGCTGCCTCCCGGGGGCATAGCTCGCCTCATCCCGGGGCCTGGCAAGCTGTGGTCTCGGGCCACACGGCACTGACTGGGCACAGCGCTGGGCCTCAGGACCTCAAAGGGTGGAAGGCAGGAAGTTCTGGCTACCCGGGGCTGCCCAGGGGCCCGGCAACAGGAAGCCCTGGGCGGGGAGGAAGCCCTGGAGGCCACGGGCCCCAGATGCAGCAGGCGGCTGTCAGCAGGAGGCTCCGCGGGCGTAGCCGGCCCAGCACTCTGGGCTGCGCGGGGCACCGCACCGCGCCTGCCTAGGGGAGGCTGGCTGAAGCCCCGCCCCGTGGCCCCTGAGCCACATGGCCTTCCTGGGCCCCAGGACACCTGCCCCCAAGCCGTCGCCAGGCAGGAAGACAGTCATGTGCTGGGTCAGTGCCACCAGGTCAGCAGGGCGGTCCTGGGGCTGGGGGGCTCGGGAGGTGGTGCCGGCCCAGCACCTGTAGAGCCGCTCAGGGAGTCCCCGTGAGGAGTCAGAACCCCCCTCAACGAGGCCCGCGGTGGGGCTCACAGGACGCTGGCCCTGGGCCGCGGAGAGGAGAGCCCTCAGCTGGACGGGGCAAGTGGGAGCCCAGAGAGGACAACCCCGCCCCCTGGTCATGTGCTGCCCTGCCTGGGTGGCCTTGGCGTTTGGGTCCTGGGTGCACACATTGTGTGTGTGCGTGTGTGAGTGTGATGATGTGTCAGTGTGACCGTGCCTGCACTGCGGGGACACGGAGAGCTGTGTGAGCTCCCACTGCCTGCCTGCCCTGGGCAGGCTGGGGGGCCTGGCAGGGAGCCGAAGAGCCTCAGGGTCTCAGGGACCCCAGCCCAGGTCGTGCCTCCCTCCCTCCCTCTGGCATGGCTCGTCACTGGCCTTCACTGGAGATTTTTGGTTTTCATTCTTTTATGGAGAAAGATTCTGGGAAGAGGAAGGGGGAGGAGAAACTGAAAGGAGAGACGGAACCAAGAGGCGCTGCGGCCCCGCCCCTCCAGCGCCACCTAGCGCCCGCTCTGTGCCGGGCGGGACAGGCTGAGCGCTCCACTGTTCACGGGCTGTGTGACTTCTGAGTTATTCAGCTTCTCCGAGCCTTGGTGTATTCATCAGTGTCGTGGGGGTGACACAGGTTCACACGTCAGGGGGTGTTAGGATGGTGACGTGGGGTGGTCCTCGAGAAGCACAGAGTCTGGTCCCCACGGTGAGTGCCCGGTGTGCTCCATGCGAGTTGACGACTTGCTGAGCTTGTTCATTAGCGTCCTAGTCTGTGAGATGGAGGTAAAGCAACGCCTGTGGGGTTTAATGAGCTGTCGGGTCAGACTTGGCTCTGCACCAGTGCAGGGCTGCGGGGTAATGATGATTACTCTGACCTGTGCCCACGCTGCCTGCCCAGGGCACTGGGGCCACCCATGAAAGGTCCTGCTAGCCCCTGGAGGCTCTGTGTGTGTGTGTGTGTGTGTGTGTGTGTGTGTGAATATACACGTGAGTCAGTGTGTGTGTATGAGTACATTTGAGTGCAAGCAGGCATGTGTGAAAATGAGTGCATGTATAAGAATGAATGTGAGCGTGTACATGTGCGATGAGTGTGCATACGTATGCGTGTGAGCCTGTGTGAGCGAGTACATGTGTACGTGCGAGTGCATGTGTGTACGTGAGCACATATGATTATATGCAGGTGGGTATGTGAGAGTGTGTCTTCGGGCGTGAGTGTATAAGCGTGCATGCAGGCCTGTGACGAATGAGTGTGTGCATAGGTGTGAGTGAGTGCACTGGGGGACCTGGTCTCTTCTCCCTCGGGGCTGGGACCCCCCAGACCCTCCTCACCCTGCAGCTCCCACACATGGGCGGCCTGGTCACCACTGACGGAACCCCGACCCTGTGGTCCCACGAGGTGCCAGCTCCCTCACCACAGCCGAGACCGCACCTGCAGGTGCAGGAGAGGAGAGCCGAGGGAACACTGCCCTCCAGCGCCTTCCTCATGCACCTTCCAGGCAACCTGGTGCACAGGCTCACACCGGTACACACGCGTGTGCACACACAGAACCTTCTGCCTTCGGGCCGTGCGGCTCATACACACATCCTGTCTGGGTGCACCGTGTGTGACAATGACCGAGTGTGCGGAGCCACGGCTCCTGTGTGGGCCTGTGCAGGGGATGTGACCACACGCCCCAGAGGCTCGCAGCTCCAAGGCAGATGGAAGCCACAGAGCCTGCGCTTCCTGGAGACCAATGGAGCTGTCTCTCTCTGTGGGAAAGAGCAGCTTTCTCCGGCCTGTTCTGCCCTCACCCCTACAGCCTCGGGCCTTGGGTCACACAGACCAATCGCAGCTGGGAGAGAAGGTGGGGGTGGGCACGGAGCAGAGACTGGGGAGCGTGCCTAGCACTGTGTTCCTGGGCAGGTCCCAACCCAGCTCACCCAGTGGTGCAGGGCAGGGCCGGGCGGCCAGAGGATATCCGGCCATCAGGATGAGCTTCGATGGTCCATTTTCTGGAGAAGGGCGGTGGATGTCTGTTCCTGAAGCAGGGACATTCCCAGGGGAGGTGAAGGTGGAACACGACCAGGCCTGCTACAACCCACCTTCCCCACCCAAGGTCAGCCCGTGGACACCCAAGAGCCCTCCTCCTGCCCGCAGAGGGACGGAGGCTAGGTGAGACTGAGCCCCTCACAGGCTTGCACCTGCCTGGCCACCGAGCTGACCAGGGTGGGACCGCGCGCCACCCCGGCTCCTTCCCCATGCTTGCTCAGGTGTGGAGCCAGGACGAGGGGTGGGCCCCATCATCCTCAGCTCTGCCTCTGGCAACCCCTGCCCCACACAGATGCCAGGTCTCCTTACAGATGGGGGAGGAGGCGATGGAGCAGGGTGGGGCTGTTCCAGCTTCCTGCGCCTTCCAGGCAACGTGCAGTCTCCCGCACCCAGCGGGGTCAGCATTCTACACCTCCTTTGGGACTGCCTGGGTGCCCCCTGTGTGCTGGGCCTGAGCTGGTGGGACCACCTGAAAGAAGGGGCACTTGAGTTAACCCTCTTCCATTTTTGGATTGTTCGTTGCTAGTGTAGAGAAATACGACTGATTTTGGTGTATCCATCTGGTATCCTGCCACCTTGCTGAGCTTGTTTAGCAGTTCTAATCATTCTTTCTTTAGTGGATCCCTTGGATTTTCTAATCATCTCATCTTTGAATAGTTTTACTTTTTCCTTCCCAACCTGCATAGCTTTTTTTTTTTTTTTTTTTTTTTTGCGGTACGCGGGCCCCTCACTGCTGTGGCCTCTCCCGTTGCAGAGCACAGGCTCCGGACACGCAGGCTTAGCGGCCATGGCTCACGGGCCCAGCCGCTCCGCGGCATGTGGGATCTTCCCAAACCGGAGCACGAACCCGCGTCCCCTGCATCGGCAGGCAGACTCTCAACCACTGCGCCACCAGGGAAGCCCATGCATAGCTTTTATTGCTTCTTCTCGCATAATTGTCCTGACTAGAACCTCTGGTACAATGTTGAATAGAAGTGGCAAGAGCTGATGTCCTTGCCTTGTCCCTGCTTGTAGGGGAAAGCTTTCAGTCACTCACCATTGTTTATGACGTTAGCTCTCGGTTCTTCGTAGATGTCCTTTACCAGGTTGAGGCAGTTCCTCCCACTCCTAGTTGGTTGGGTGTTCTCATTATGAAGGATTGTCAAATTTTGTCAAATGCTTTTTCTGCATCTGTCAGCATAAGCATGTTCTTTTTTTTCTCTTTATTAGATTGACATAATGTATTACCTGCTTTGAGTTTTGTTTTTTGGGTTTTTTGTTGTTGTTGTTTTGGCTGTGCCGTGAGGCTTTTGGATCTTCGTTCCCACACCAGGGATTGAACGCAGGCCCTGGCAGTGAAAGCGCTGAGTCCTAACCACTGGACCACCACGCAATTTCCTACATTTTTTGAATTTTGAATGTTAGATCAAACTTGCATTCCTAGAATAAATCCCACGTGGCGTAGAATCCTTTTTATATGATGCTGGATTCAGTTTGCTAGTATTTCGGTGAGGAACTTTACGCCGACATTCATAGGGATATTGGTCTGTAGTTTTCTTTTCTTGCGAGGTCTTTGGTTTTGGTATCAAGGTAACGCCGACCTCTTTTTTTTTTCTTTTTTTTGCGGTACGTGGGCCTCTCACTGTTGTGGCCTCTCCCGTTGCGGAGCACAGGCTCCGGACGCACAGGCTTAGCGGCCATGGCTCACGGGCCCAGCCGCTCCGCGGCATGTGGGATCTTCCCAGACCGGGGCACGAACCCGTGTCCCCTGGATCAGCAGGCGGACTCTCAACCACTGCGCCACCAGGGAAGCCCACGCCGACCTCTTAGAATGAGTGCCTTGCTCTTCGGTTTGGGGAAGAGTTTGTGAAGGACTGGTGTTCATTTGAACCACCTCTTGAGGGTGAGTTAGTTCAGTTGTAACAGCAGGCAGTGGGAACAGTGTGGACAGAGGCCTGAAGGGGGGAGCGCAGTGGATTTGAGTAACAGGAGCCACGGGCCTGGCTGGTGCAGGCACACACACGGGAGGTGGAGGGCTGGAGGACAGCCCGTGAGAAAGGTCCACAGGGGCTGGATCCAGAAGGGCCAGCTGGACATGAGCAGGTCCTGGAGCTTTAGAACAGAGCAGTGATGGGCATGGCATGTGTGCTGGAGCCTGTGCTGAGGGGAGGGTGATGGAGGAAAGAGACTGGAGGCCAGGGAGGGACTTGAGGAGGTGGGGTGGGGCTGCCCGGAGGTGGTGGAGGGGGGCACAGGCAGGGGGCTGCGAGGAGGCAGCCTAGAGGGCTGGGAATGCTGGGGGCGTGGGGCTGGCAAGGGCACTGGGAACAGGCACAGAGGCTGGCTGGAGCCTCAGTGTAGGGAGGCTGCTGTAGAGGCGTGAGAGGCAGGGGCTGGTTGCAGCGGGAAGGGGCCAGAGCCCTGGCCTGAGGCAGAGGCCTGGAAACCAGGGACCTCCCGCTGGGTGGGAGCAGGGCGGAAGCTGTTAGACCCACCCTCTGCTGCAGGTGGCCCATCTCGGTGGCAGCCTGTATGCAAGTGGAGGTAGAGAAGGCAGCACGCTTGGGAGGCCAGCCTGTAGCCAGCCTAGGGGGCTCCTGGGAGAGGTGCCCACATCCTTCCAGGCAGAAGGAGCTGCCAAGGACCGGAGCCCTGACCCCTGCAAGGAATCCCGGGTCAGAGAGGCGACGCAGCCCGCCCAGAGTGGGCCACGGGGGAGGAACGAGGGAGGAACGAGGGAGGACCGGCAGCCCCGACCGGGAGCCTGAGTGCTCGCGCCCCGGGGGGCCGGGGGGAGGGGAAACTCGCCAGCCAGCCCCGCTTCAACTCCCCTCAGCCCCGGGAGGCGGGGCGGCCCGCACCACCCTTGACAGAGCTGCGGGCCGGGGCTCCGGGAGGAGGAGGAGGAGGCACTTTCCCAAGGTCTCGGCCGCCAGGAGCCGGAGGGGCTGGGGCCCGGGTGTGGGGGCGGTCGGGAGCCCTCCAGCCGCGCGGGGTCGTGAGGCCGGCCGCCCGTTCACCTCCGTGGCTTCCCGACTTCGGGCGGCCCCTCAGGCGTCCGCCCCGCGCCCCCGCGTTCCCGCGACCCCGCAGCCCCACCCTCGCAGCGGCCGGCGGGGAAACTGAGGCCCCGCGGGCTGACGGGCGGGGCGGCGCCTCACCTGCGAGGGGCGGAGCCGGCGGCCGGGCAGGGGGCGGGGCGGGGCGGGGCGGGGCGGCGGCATGGCGGGCGAGGGGCCGCGGCCGCGGGCCAGGGGCTGGCGGGAGGAGGGCGCCGCAGGCGAGGCGGCGGCCCGGGCGCGCGGCCCGATGCCCTGTCGGTGCGCGCAGGGGAGGCGGGCGCGGGCCGACCCCCCGAAGCCGGCCGTGCCCATCGCGTGGACGCTGTGAGGACCGAGCCGGCGCTTCCGGCGGGAACAAAGGCGGGCGGGGGCCGGCTCCGGCGGGTCTGGGGGCTTCGGACGGGGCGGGGGCCTGTCCGTCTGTCAGCACCTCCCGGGGCGGGCGGGCGCGGGGCCCCCTCCTCCCTACGCCCGCGGGGTTCTGTCCGGTGCGGGCCGCCGGGCGAGCGCGGGGGTGGCGCGCTTTGTCGGAGGCTCCACTGTTGGTTGGGGCGCAGGCCAGAGGGGTGGCTTTGTGCTTAGGTGGAGCTGGAGCGGGCAGCCCGAGCGACCTGGGCAGGGGCCGAGGAGCAGGCGTGCGGGGAGGCGGGAGGCGGTAAACATCTGTTGGAGCCTGCCAGTTTGCTGAAAGCGGAGTGGGTTTTTGTGTGTGTGTGTGTTTGGGGATGGGGCAGGAGTTCCAGCAAGGCTGGGCCTCTGGGTCTGACCCGAACTGCTCCTCCAACTCCACTGGGGCCCCCGGACGGACCATACCCCGGGTGGGGTGGGGGCAGGCACTGGATAAAACAGTGCGGGGTGGGTGGGTGCTGTTCAGAGGGACCAGGGGTGCGGTGCGGGAGGCCCCGAATGTGACTGGGCATTGAGGTGCGTCACAGAAGAGGGGAGTCTGAATCTGGGTCTTGACGGGCGAGTAGGAGTTCTCTATGTGAGAAGGGGTGGCAGTCATTCCAGGCAGAGGCCGGAAGTGTGAAACTGAAAGAGCCTGCCAGGTTTCTGGGAGAGCAGCTGGAACATGAGTAAGAGGCTGTTGAGCAGCGGGGCCTTACAGCCGGGCCTGGAATGTAGGGCCCTGAGGGCCTGGGTTAACCCTGAGGCAGGCAGCCTGCCCCTGGAGACCGTGCACTGGGTGGCCCCTGACTGAACGATGCCCCAGGCTGACTGGGACACTGTGGATCCCAGCCAACCCACCAAACGATTATTTGGCAAGGGTGTGGCCCCCAACCCTGGCTGAGACATGTCCCCTTCCCTTTTTATTGTAGCTTCATGGCGGCCGAGGAGATGCACTGGCCCGTCCCCATGAAGGCCATTGGTGCTCAGAACTTGCTGACCATGCCTGGGGGTGTGGCCAAGGCTGGCTACCTGCACAAGAAGGGCGGCACCCAGCTGCAGCTGCTCAAGTGTGAGTCCCCTGAGTGGTGGGGAACATAATGGGAGGACGTGGGGACAGGGCTGAGCCCCACTGGACCTTCTTGGCCAAGCACCCTTCCTTTCTGAGCCTCTTTTTCCTTCCTTACCTGGTGGGCCCTCCAGAGTTTCCCTTCTCTCCCTGCCGGCACCCCCTCGGGGCCCTGAGGTTGGCCTCCCCAGCCCCCAGGACTGTGGAAGGGTCTGGGGTGGTGCAGCGGGTGGAGATAGGAGGGCATTTGGTGCACAGTGCTGACCAGCTGGACAAGGGAGCTTCAGCCTGTGGCCAGGGGCGGGAGCCCTCGTTGGCCTGGTAGGTCTGGCCCCTGGGTGGTGCCCTCGCCTTATCAGGTGTGTGTTCAGTGAGTCAGGCAGTCACTCTGTCTGCAATGAACCCACGTACCAGGCCAACAGCCATCTGGGTGCTGGACCTCCAGAGCTTCACGAGACCGGGGCTCTGGTGCCTAGGACAGCAGGCTGGGAGAGGGAGAGAGCCCCCAGGCCTAGGAGATGCTGAAGCCCAAGAGCATCAGGGCCTTGCCCACCCCTCTGACCAGCCACGAGCGTCCCGTGCCTTTGCTCAAGCTGTGCCCTTTGCCAGGGACTCCCTGGCCCTGTGCTGCCTGGTCGAGGTGCCCCAGGCTGACTGGTTTGGTTTCTCTGTGGGCTCCGATTGGTCTGCCCTCCTCTTTGAACAGGGGGCCTCCAAGGAGGGGCTGTAAGTGAGCCGCCTCCAGGCCTGGGAGGGGCTGCTCCGGGATGGGGCAGTAGCCCCAGGGGTTCTCACCTTAACTGGCTCCACACCAGTGGCTCTTGTTGGCAAGATCTCTGGGCATCTTTGCCCCTAGTCTCGCTCCACCCAGCAAGGCGGCTCTGTGGCCTCCCTGGGCCTCTGGCCCTGGCTCTGCCCTTCCTTGAGCCACTTTAGTCCCTTGTCCCTAGGGCCTGCGGTAGCGCCACACAGCCCCCTGAATCTCCCCTGCCCTGGAGGGACCCGCATGCCCATCCATCTGTCAGCATTTGGCCCCGTGGAAGACTCCTGGGGAGGGGGCAGGAGGCCTGGCCTGGAGTCGCCCAGGGCCTCCAGGCGTGGTCCCTGGAGTGGGGCCTGCCCGGAGGCTCAGCCCCTGCCCTCGCCCCGCTCCGCAGGGCCCCTGCGCTTCGTCATCATCCACAAGCGCTGCATCTACTACTTCAAGAGCAGCACGTCTGCCTCCCCGCAGGGCGCCTTCTCGCTGAGTGGCTACAACCGGTAAGTGCCCCACTGACCCCCAGCCCCACGGCCAGTGGGTTCGCCCCCGGTTCCCACCCAGGGCGAGTCCAGGCTTTCCTGAGATGGTTCACACCCCCAGCCCTTCGGATGGGTCCAGCCTCTGCCGCTCCATCCTAGCCTCAGGCCGTTGCCGAGGGCCTGGGGTCGAGGCTGGGGCTTCCTGCCGCTTTATCAGCCTCAAGGGTTGCAACAGCCTGCTCTGCAGAGTCCCCATTCGGTCTCAGCCCAGTGACTTCTGCGTCCCTCCTTCCTCTCCACCTTTTCCCCCTCAACCATCTCCGCCTCCTTTTGGCCAAGAGCCCAGGACCTGCCCCAGGCCCCCTGGTTCCCGGGGCCTCCCAGGCTGGGGCCAGTTCCCTGCTGCGGGCTGCCAGTCTATCATTTGGCCAGGAGCCTGCCCTCAAGGAGCTCTCTGACTCATGGGCACTGGGCCTCCCCCTCCCCCCCTCCCCGGGGGATGGGGCATGTTGGCACGTGTGGGCCCACCCACAGCCTCGCCTGCACGCACGGGGGGGGGGGGGGGGGGTCAAGTGTGATTCCTGACTCTAGGTCTTGGTGTCACACCACCCAGGCCCTGCACCCAATGGCATTAGTCTGTGCCCCTGCCCACCCCGGGAGGGCCCAGCCCTTCCTGCCTCTGAGAACCTGAGGGTCCCTTGGTGTCAGTGGCAGGACTGGCGCCCGTGGGGGGGGTGACTCTAGGCCTGCACTCACATGCTGGCCGCAAGCTCTGTAGGGAAACTTCCCCCAAGCACCCAGCCCAGTGCCCATCCCCCAGGTGGAGGCCAGGGGAGGCTCCAGGGCCCTGTGGCTGCCAGCAGGCACTGGTGGGTCAGACTCTGGGGTCCCCTGGGGAGGGACATTTCCTTCCCCCAAACACACCACCCCTGGCCTGGTGGGAGTGCAGCCTTGCAGCAGGGGATGGTCCAGGCCGTCTGATGGGCCGGAGGGACACACCTGCCCCAGGCGCCCAGCCTGACAGCGCCCCCCATGGTAGAGTTTGTGATCTCTACGCAAACTCCATGTCCTGGCTGCAGGAGCGGCTGCAGTGAGTCACTTCCCTGAAATGTTCTCAGGCCAGCCACCTGGCAGCAGGGGCAGGGCTGAGGGTGACACGAGCCCCATGAGGGTCCCCAGGAGGTAGGCCAGGGACCAGGCGGGGCCCGAGGCATCCAAGTAAAGTAGCATTGGTGGGCAGCGAGGGTGGCATGTCCTCGTCTCAGAGCCCTGCATGCGCTGCTCCCTGGAAGCCCTCCTGGACCCCTGTGCCCTCCGCTCACTGCCCACCCTTGCCCACACGCTTCCTTCTGCCTGACGCATCCAGGCCTTCAGCCAGCAGCATCGATGGGCCAACCGTCCAGATCTTCCCATGTCCCTTGGGGCGTGGTGCAGGGTGCCAAGACCTGTCCAGGGGCGGGGCTGTGCTTGGGCCGTCCCTGCGGGCATGGGCCGCATGGTGACCACTGGCACTGCCCTCAGGGTGATGCGGGCAGCTGAGGAGACGACGTCCAGCAACGTCTTCCCCTTCAAGATCGTCCACATCAGCAAGAAGCACCGCACGTGGTTCTTCTCTGCCTCCTCTGAGGACGAGCGCAAGGTGATGGGGGGCCGGGTTGGACCTGCCTTGTGGGGACGGGGAACTGTCAGGGCCCCCGTCCAGGCCCTGAGGGGCCGTGGCTGGGGCATGGGCAGCTGGGTGGGTGCCGCCCCCCGGTCTCCAGTCCTCACGCCCAGGGCCTGGCGCCAGCCCCCTCACACTCAGAGCACGCTGTCTCAGGAGGAACCCTGGGTTGGCTGAAGGGGGGCCGCGGCCCCAGAAGGGCCAGCCAGGGTCGTCTTCCCCAACCTTGGTGGTCGACACAGACCAGCCAGTGCAGGCAGGGGAGGAGGGATGAGGGTGGGTTCCTCCCCTGGGCAGCATCATGCCCGCTGAGGGCCTGACTGACCCGCAGAGCTGGATGACCTTGCTGCGCAGGGAGATTGGCCACTTCCATGAGAAGAAGGAGCTGCCTCTGGATGCCAGGTGGGCCTGGGGGTGTGATGGTGGGTGGGTGTCACTAGGGCCCTGGACTTGACACGTGTGCCTGCCTCCTGACCCCTGGGGGCTTGGCCCAGAATCCCCTCCTTGAAGGCTTTTCTGAAGGTGCCAGCTGGGCCGCGTGTGTGCGGGGTGTGCACCTGTGTGTGTGCACCCGAGTGTGTAAGCGTGTGTGTGCGTGCACCCCGCTGGTAGTTCCTGTTTGGGGATTACACGTGCTTCTACTTGCGCACCCAGGAAGCCCGGCGTTCGTAGCAGCTCAGGCCTTCGGGTTCCCAGCGCCCCTCACTAGGGAGTGAGAGCAGGCTGAGTGCCCGGGGCAGTGGCCCAGCCTGTCTGGGCGTTGATGACTGCACGGTGAAGGTGGCTCAACAAGCAGCGGGGGCTCTCTGGGCGGGAGCTGCATCCATCCGGGCCTTTCAGACATGAGAATAGGGAGGCCCAGGTAGGGCTGGGTACACCTAGGCGGTCCCGCAGGCCCCTGCCTCAGCCCCCAGGGCAGGAGCAGGTGGGGACGTGGGCCCAGCCTTGAGGCCTGGCACCGTCTGGGCGGTCGGGGTGTACTTGTGGCGAGAACCACGGTGGGGCTGAGGAGGGAGACACCACAGCCTCCAGTCCCCTTGTCTGCCCTTGTTTTGTGTGTAGACGTGTGTCTAGATCTTTCTGTGTCCGCACGTCTCCATGCGTGTTCTCGTGTTTATCTGTGTGTGTGTCTGCATCCGCGTGTCTGAGTGTGCACATGCGTGTGGCTGCGTCCTTGTCTGTCTGTGTGTGTGTCTGTCTGCGTGTCCGAGGGTGTGAGTGCAGGAGACCCCCTGCCCGGTACTCACGGCCCTGCCCGCCCTGCGCTCAGCGACTCCAGCTCGGACACAGACAGCTTCTACGGTGCCATTGAGCGGCCCGTGGACATCAGCCTCTCTCCGTACCCCACGGACAATGAAGGTGAGGCGCGTCCCCATCCTCTGCCCGCCGCCTCTCCATGCCTGGCTGCTGCCCCGGAGGGAGACGTAGCTGGCTGGCCTCCCTGCTCCGTCCCTTCGGCTTCCCCAGGCAGCCTGGGTCTTGGGTTCCCATCCTGCCCACCTCATCCTGGCCCTGGGCCCCCCTGAGGGAGCGAGGTCCTGAGAGCCCCGCCCGGCCACCCCGGCCTGGGTGCAGCTGGCCTGGGTGGCCCTGAGTCCGACCCTCCATCTGCCCCACAGACTACGAGCACGACGATGAGGACGACTCTTACATGGAACCCGACTGCCCCGAGTCCGGGAAGCCCGAGGGTGGGTGGGGCACCCGGTGGGCCTGGGGAGCGCTGGGAGTAGAGAACAGGGGCTGGGGCCTGGAGCAGAGGCTCCCCCACCCTGGGCTGGGGCTATCAGCCTGGGTATGGCTCCGGGTGGCCTGAGGCCTGACCGTCTCCACCTCGGGCCTCAGTTTTCCTCCTTCAACCCAAATATTGGGAGGAACGGAGCAGAAGAGGCTGGCTCTGCTCACCTGCTCCTCTGACCTCCTCCAGTTCGCCTGGGATGGGGGAGGGGCGGTGCAGAGGTAGGTGAGGGGGAGCCCCACACGTGGGACGCTGAGCCAGGGCTGGCCCTGGGGGCTGAGAACAGGGAAGGAGGATAGCTCGCCGTGAGCACCTGCGGCCAGATGGTCACTCAACTGCCCCACCCTGCCCCCACCCCCCAGAGCCCTCGGCCAGGCAAGGGGACAGGCTTGTACCAGGCATCCCAGGGAAGCGCAGGGACGGGTGGGGGAGGGCCACGCCTCTATCCTGCGTCTGTCGCATCACTCACTGTTCCTTCCGCCCCCAGCTCTCCTCCCCCAGCTCCTCTTGTTCTCGTTGATTTCATCATGGTCCGGGACTCCCTGTTCCCTGGCCTCCTCTCCAGCCACCTTGTCTTCTGCCCCCCTCAACTCCTCTTGGCCTCCTCTTAGCTCTGCCTCCCTCAAGTGCGCCCGGTGCCAGCCCTCTTCCCTCCTACTGGCTCCCTCCCTCTGGGGCCCCAGCTCCCACGGGCCTTCAGCCCACCAGGACCTGCAGGCCAGCACCGAGCCCACATCAGACCCTCATCCGTTCTCTGGTCTTTGCGCCCTCGCTCGCCCGCTTCGGGCTCTCATCTCTCGGGCCTGTGACCACAGCCCTGGTGAAGCCCTGCCTCCGTCTGCCCCACCCCTGGCTGGAGAGAGCCCACGGAGGCCTCACCCTCATCCCCACCTTGGACCTCCAGGGCCCCAGTGCCCCTGCACACCTGCTTGCGCATTCCCAGCTCCTCACCCAGAACGCCTCTCGTCAGGGTTCCCACCCCAGCGCCCGAGGGTGGCACTTGGCCCGGGGCCCCCTCCCTGCCCCCACCTGCCTCGCCAGCCCCAGACACCTCGTGCTCCAGGTCCCCTCCCGCCCAGCCCTGTGCTGCCCGGGGTGCCCACGCGCACGACCCCGGGGCTCAGGCCTGGCCCGCTCCTCTCCCGTCACTCCTGGGCCACGGCCAGTGTCATCGACAGGCTGTTGACTCCTGACATTTCCAGCCGGGGCCCCTCCTCTGAACTGGGCCTGGGCCCCTGGAGTCCACTCGACGTCCCTTAGGTGTCTCGGGGCACTGTCAACTTGTTAGGAGCAAACCCAACCCCCAGCTTCCCCCAGCCTGCTCCCGCCTTTCCTCCTCACCTCTGTTACTGGGACTCCCAGCCGCCCCAGCTGAGGCCCGGTCCTGGGAGACTTCCTTGCCCCTTTGTCCTTCTCGCCCCGACCCGCTCCCCCGGAAGCTGAAGGCCCCTGATGTGACACCTGGGCTTCAGGAAGTTTGCACAGGCTGCCGTATGGGGGACAGATCGGGAGGGCCGGGTGGCCTGGGGTGGGCCAGCGTCCCAGAAGGAAGGCTGCATCGGGGCTGTAGGCCGCGTGGCCGGGCTGGGGGGCTGGGCGCTGGGGGGTTGCACGCCTGCTTGGCCCTGGCTGGCCCTTGCCGGCAGAGGTGCTGCTGCTCTGGCCTCCAGCAGGGGACGCTTGCTCACCAGATGGGTCTCCTCGCTCTGCAGATGCCCTGATCCACCCACCGGCCTACCCCCCACCTCCGGTGCCCACGCCCAGGAAGCCCGTCTTCTCTGATGTGCCCCGGGCCCACTCCTTTTCCTCCAAGGGTCCAGGCCCTCTGCTGCCACCTGCACCCCCTAAGCGCAGCCTCCCCGATGCCGGCCCGGCCCCCGAGGACTCCAGGAGGGAGCTGCTGGGCCCGAGGTGGCTCGAGCCCGGCCCCAGGGTGCCCGCCCCCTCCCGGAGGGTGAGTGAACCCCCACCGGGCGGCCTGCCCGCCGTGCCCAGCCGGAAGCCACCTTGCTTCCGCGAGGACGCCAGCTCCGGCCCAGAGCCCCGGGTCCCTGGCCACGGCGCCAGCTCTTCCTCTAGCTCTGCCAGCGCAGCTGCTACCACCTCCAGGAACTGTGACAAGCTCAAGTCCTTCCACCTGTCCCCTCGGGGGCCACCCACACCTGAGCCCCCTCCCGTGCCGGCCAACAAGCCCAAGTTCTTGAAGGTGGCTGAAGTGGCCCCCCCAAGGGAGGCAGCCAAGCCCGGACTCTTCGTGCCCGCCGTGGCCCCCCGGCCTCCCGCACTGAAGCTGCCCACGCCCGAGGCCACAGCCCGGCCCGCGATCCTGCCCAGGCCAGAAAAACCGCCCCTCCCCCACCTCCAGTGAGTCTGTGCCACACTGGTGCCACTGGGGCCCCCCCCCCAGCCTGTCTTCCCACCGGTGACCCAGCCTCCCTGCCTCTGGCACACAGCCCGTGACGGGCACCAGGCGGCCCTGGCCTGGGTGGGGGGAGGAAGGCGCCTTGATGGCCCTGGGCTGCCTAGGCTGAATGGTCTCCCCTACACCTGACGCGGGGGTTCCCAGGGGTGTCCCGCCTGGCCTTTGAGGTCCAGCCCTGTGGGTGGTGAGCCTGGAGCCCGTGGCTGCCTTGGGGAGCAGTGGGCGAGGCGGGGCTCTGGGCACCCCGGCCTCCCAGAGCCCCTGCCGTGCAGTGAGGGCCCTCCGGGCGCTGCCAGCCTGCCCAGGGACAGGCGCTCTGGGGAGGTGTGGGACTGAGCCCTCCTGAGCCAGAAGTGCCCTTCCTGGCCCTGTCTGGGGCTCCAGATGCCACCCTGGCTCTGACGCCACCTAGGCTGCCTTTGTGCCCTTCCTGACTGGGAACCTGCCAGTTCCCAGTGGAATGTGGGACGTGTGTGTGACTCACCTCGAGGCCTGCTCGAAACACTTTCCACTTTATTGCTGGGCAGTGCCGGGAGCCTGGTGTGTCCTCACACCCACAGCCCGCAGGGCCCTCAGCAGGGAAGGCTCCGGGAGCCCGAGCGGGGAGCCTGAGTGGGCACTCTAGTACGGTTCCTCCTGAGTACTCTTGACCACGGCACCCTTCCCCCTAGGGCTCTGTTAGCACTGCCACCCGTGCGGGAGTGCCTGGGAGAACCCTTCGGCACACTCACGGTTCTGTTTTGTGAGGGGCCACAGAGTTGTAGGCTGGCTCATGTGTTCGTGCTCTGGGTCTGGACCTGAGTGCCACGGGTCTGCATGTGGCAGAGCTGGTCGTCCACAGCACAGCCTTACCCACAGCCTGGCAGCCCATCCCAGGGTGGCCTCCTTTAACTCTCCCTGAAGCCCTGGAGGCTCGGACCATGTGGCCACAGTGAGGGGCGTGTCCCTTTGGCTCGACCCATTCACATCCGTCCCGTGGCTCTGGGAGGAGTGCAACGTGGCTGAGGTCACAGAGCTGGTCCATGGCAGCACTGGGCCCTTTGCCCACAGTGTCTGGAGCCCAGGACCCCCCTTGCCGGTGATGCCGGCTCAGGCGGCCAGGCTTCAGGTGACTGCTGCCACCCCAGGGCGGTCAGCGTGGAGCCCCCCAGAGCTCTGTGGTCCTGAGCCTTTGACAGCCGCCAGGGCCGCAGGCGCCAGACCTCATGGGTCCCCAGGCTTGGTGTGGTCACTTGGAGGCGCGGGGAGCAGCGTCTGGGGGGAGCAGAGGGGGCCTGTCCCACGTCTGGCAGCGACACGGCCTTCCTCCGTTTGCTTCCCGTCCAGGAGATCACCCCCCGACGGGCAGAGCTTCAGGAGCTTCTCCTTTGAAAAACCCCGGAAACCCGCGCAGGCTGACACGCCGCAGGCGGACGCTGGCGGGGAGGACTCTGATGAGGACTACGAGAAGGCAAGGCCGTGTGGGGTGCCCAGATGTCCAACAGGATGGGCGGCCGCGGGGGAGCTGGGGGCGCGGGACACGGTGCGCAGCCCCGTCTCCCGGCACAGGCTGGCAGCCAGCGGGGAGAGTCCCACCTGGGCCTTGACGCTGACCATGCCGGCCTCCCTCCAGGTGCCACTGCCCAGCTCCGTTTTCATCAACACCACGGAATCTTGTGAAGTGGAAAGGTCAGTGTGAAGCCCTTCTTTCTCCAAGGCCTTGTCTTGGCAGACCTGAGGTTCTCTGCCGCCCCCCACACACACACCTGCACACACACACACCCCTACACACATACACACACACACACCCCTACACACATACACACACACACACACCTACACATACACACACACACACACACACACACATACCTACACACACACACGCATGAATGCACGCCCTCTGGTCTTCCTGCTCTTTGGTCCCCCTCTCCAGCCTCGGTGCTGGGCAGTTACTGGCACGAGAACACAGCTGAGTGCCACGAGAAACCCGGCGAAAGAATGACTCCTGCCAGTTCAGCCCCTGCTCTGGCCTCGCCCTGGGCTCTGTGCGGCCGGCCCTCGTGGTCCCCAGTGCTCTCGGAACCTGAGCTGCAGAATCTGGGATGACAGAAAGCCACGTGGTGATGGGCTGGAGGGTCCTTGAGAGAGCTGTCCGAGGGGGGCTCACCTGTTCACACGGCTGTGTTCTTGTAGGCTGTTCAAAGCCACGAGCCCCCGGGGAGAGCCCCTGGACGGCCTCTACTGCATCCGGAACTCCTCCACCAAGGCGGGGAAGGTAGGCACCCAGGGAGGGTGCTCAGCCGCCACCCTGCTGTGCAAAGGCCCCCAAGACGGCTGCGTGGTGGGGTCTGCCGCCCTCTACATACCCGGGCTGACAGGCGAGCACAGAACTCTACAGTTCGTAGCTCATTTCCCCACGCAGCCTCTTACTTGGCTTCTCAACCAGGTTTCATCCTTGAGGTCTACAACCCCTTCTCCCCATCTGTTTTCAGGAACTCAGCACCGTCTGCAGTGGTGCCCACTCCCCAGCACGGGCGTGAGGCACAGGAAGGGTTGGGGGGCCCGGGGCTCTGGCGGGGTAGGGGGTTCCCCTTCCTGCTCTTTGAAGGGGAGGCTGCCTGGGGCCGTGGGAACATTAGGAGGTCTGCTGGCTCTGCCTGGGCCCCTCCAAGGGTGACTCGTGTGACCTCACTGAGCCTGTTTCCCCTTGAGTGTCGGAGATGGTCCTAGTGTGGACCAGGCACCTGCTACTGTCATTCGCGTCTTAGCAGACGCTCTGAGGGCAGGAGTCCCGGGGCAAGGGGCCGCCCATCCTGACCCTGCTGTCCATGGGCAGGGGGACCCTCTCCCAGGGACCCAGCCTCGACGCTGCTGCCCCCGCACCCCGAGTCTGTGTCTTTCCTGAGGGGAGTGAGCCGTCCTCTGCCCGCTCCTCTCCCCGCAGGTTCTGGTCGTGTGGGACGAAACCTCCAGCAAAGTGAGGAACTACCGCATCTTTGAGAAGGTGAGCGGGCTGGCCTACCCGAGGGCCCTGGGCAGGAGGGGAGCCCTGGTCCGGGGCTCGGCTGGGGTCGGGGCAGAGTCTCCCTGGGAGAGCATAGGTAGTGGGTGGTCTGAGGCCAGCACCCCCAAACACTCCTCCTCCGCCGTCCCCTCTCTCCGTGGCCCCACCTCCCCCCGCTCCTGGCTTCTCTGTGTCCTCCACTGACCCTAGAGGAGATGGGGTGATCAGCCCTCAGCCCTAGGCTTATTTACAGACCTGGCCTGCGTCCCCTGGGCAGAGCGTTACTGCCGACCGCCCCGTCTTACAGCTCAGGGGGCTGGCCGGCCCCTCTGACCCTGCCCCACTCCCCACCCAGGAGGCGAAGTTCTACCTGGAGGGCGAGGTCCTGTTTGTGAGCGTGGGCAGCCTGGTGGAGCATTACCACACTCACGTGCTGCCTGGCCACCAGAGCCTGCTGCTGCGGCACCCCTACGGTTACGCCAGGCCCAGGTGACGCCTGTGCTTGCACGCTACTGGGCAGAGACGGCCACGGGGCCACAGCCCTGGGCCACGCAGAAGGAGACCGGCCTGCACGGGAGAACACGCGGGAGCCAGCACCGTGCTCTGACCCGGGGCCTCCCCGGTGGACACCTCACAGAGATTGCCAGGCCAGGCCCCGCCCAGCAGGCTGGGTCCCCCGGGGCTCGGCCAGGCCCTGGGCTCCAGGGAATTGTGTGGGGCTCTCCTGTCTCACCCCGCCCACCTCCCAGGAGCCTAGGACTGAGCCCAGTCTGGACTTGATTTACAGAAATTCTGGTACCCCCCGGCACGCCCCCCCGGCACTGGGCTGGGAGCTGGGCAGGGCTGAGGTATTTGGGGTTGGGCAGGGGCTGGACCCCCAGGAACGCTACAACACAGGCTCCGAGAGGGGCCGGTGCCTCACAATAAAGCACAGATGACCTTTGCCCCGGTGGCCAGGGCTGCACTGGGAAGGGGGCACATCAGCCTCCAAGTGTTGACTGTAGCAGGTCAGCTCACGGGACCTCTAGGAGGTGGTCTTGTTTTCTAGGCCACAGGGCGCTAAATGACTTACCCTTGGGTCCACAGCTGGTAACAGAACAGGACCCAAAAAGTTGGACAATCTGGCCCCAGAGCCTGTATCCAGAATGCCAGGTTCTGCTGCCAGAAGTCAGGTCCAGGGCAGTGAGGCTACAGAGCTAAGAGGCCCCTCACATCAGTAACCGGGTCATTCGTTGGCTTAACCAGTGGTTACTGGGAGACAACCGGGCAGAAGGTACGCACAGCGCCCACCGTCCGTGGCAGCGGGGTGTGCAGGGGCTGGGAGCTTGCAACGCAGCTGGGGGCTCCAGGAAGACTTCCTGGAGGAAGTGATGGTTACAGTGCTGCAGGAAGAGTAGGCCCTGTGTCGGCCAGGGGTGGGTGGGGACAGTGGTACCCAGATGCCCAAGTCGTCTGGTTCATGCCTGGTGCAGGCCCAGCACCGATCATCCCCTTGCTTCCTGTCACGGAATCCCAGCAGCCTGCTCTCCCTGGCGTGGCCATCCAGGCTGGAATGTTTTCTTTTCCTCATAAAAACAGACTCAACTGGGTGTCAGGGCTGCCAGGGAACCCAGGGTCATTTGCTCCTCACTGCACTTTGTGTTGGGATGAGGAATTCGCGATGTAGAAGCCAAGCCACAAGAGCCTATGTGCCCACTAGCCATTGATTAATGGTCCCAGAGGAAGGCCCTTTGGACGTCCCTTCCTCTGCCCTGGGCATGTCCCGGGGTGAGGTCGTTGGAGGAGGAGAGAGAAGTCCAGTCAGATGGGAGGCTCCTGGAGGTGCAGCAGGGAAGACAGCAGCCGTCTCCTCCCAGGAACCGAGTGTCCAGCACCACCTCTACAGATGTTTCTTCTTCAGGCACCCAGTGGAGTTGGGGAAACCGGAGCCCCTGGTGTTCCTTCCGCAGCATCTGTGGGAAACCAGCAGTTCCTCCTTCCTGCAGTTGCAGTCCACTGCCCTGAGCCCAAGTGACGCACACCAGTCCCCACTGTGGCTTGCAGTTTCCCTTTCTGTGAAATCAGAGAAGCATTTCCAGCAGTTTCTGGGGTCTGCTGTGCTGCTGATTGCTGTAGGACACATGACACTAATGCTTTTAGCTGACACGCGGCCACTTGGCAGCCAGCTCATACTTGAAGACCCCTGAACTGCAAGGTTGGGGGGTTCTGGTGTCCAGAGCCAGGTGATAGGTCCTTCTGGCCACCTGGACAGATGAGACCTGTCGCTACTAGAGGCCCACCCCAGAGCCCAGCCCAGGGCCTGACGGGACAGCTGCCCTCCTCTGAGTTCACACCCCAGGCCCAGGGCCTCGGTTGCTAGAGTGTGTGTGTGGAGGGTAGTGGATGGGGCCCCAGGCACGGTCCTCCAGCACACAGGAGGGGCTGGAAGGGGTCCCACTCCCCCGAGACTTGCCATGAATGTTCTATTCCTCACGTAGGGCTGGAGGGTGGTTACCACTGGCTGAGCACTTCCTGTACTCAAGGTGCTGAGCTGCACACTTGACTTAGGTGTAATAGCAGCTGCCCTCCAGGCGAACTGTTTTACAGGTGAGAAAACCCAGGCTCAGGGAGGCCTGGATTCCAGACACAGCCCTGCAATCTGTCCTTCGCTGCTGAGCCCAGACCCTGGCCCCCGCCTAGCTCCCTGCCACCCGCGTGGCCTCGGACAGTCATTTTAGGGTGTCTGGTTAGCCTGCCTCCCGGGGTTCTGGGCATGCCTTCACCCAGCGAGGGGGCCACAGCTCGGGGTGGGGGGGACAAGGCTGACCTGCCTCACTGTTCTGTCCTCCCAGCCGCAGTCTGTGGGTAAACTGATGGGGGCCCCACCCGAGGTGCTGTGCTGCTCCCTCACCTTACAGATAGGGAAACTGAGGCTCAGAGAGGCTTCGCTGACCTGCCCATCCTGATGGTGAGTCCAGAGATGGTTCAATTCCTGTGCCAGGGAAGAGGGCCCTGGACGCTTTGGGAAGCTTCTCCAAGCTGAGCCCTGAACATGGTTGTACTTTTCCTGCAGTTCATCGGAAGGAGTGCAGTGAGCCTCTGTACCTTCTGTTCATAGAGTTTTATTGTCAACAGATGTTTTTAGAACCAGAAGAGACCTCACAAAACAAGCCAGGGTTGCTCCAGTCCCCACGCCAATTCTGGGTCACATTGCATGGATGCCCCCTGCTGGTCTGAGGGGGAACTTCTGGCACCCCAGGCTGAGCACCAGAGGCCTGGGCCCAAGGGGCTTCTCGTCCCGCTGGGCTGCACTGGGCTGGCCTCTGCAGGGCATGGCATAGAGGACAGCAAGGCCACCCGAGGAATATCAGGCAGAGCTGGCCCTTGAACCAAATCTGTGTGTCTCTAGAGAGGCAGTGAGGGGCAGGCCGCAGCCTGTCTCTGCCTGTGACTCAGAAGCAGGGAGCCCCTGGCTGGGCAACCTGCACACACACAGGGCCCCCCTGTCTGTGCCCCGGAGATGGTTGCTAGTGGCCATCCCGCATCAAGCCACCAGCACTCTCTCGGGAGGGAGAGTTGTGGGATGCAAAGCAGACCTGACCCATCTGCCTCCCTCAGACTGCTCCTCAGAAACTGCAGAGGCTGCCTGACAGCTGCCCCTGCATCGCCCTCCAGCTGCATCCCTGGTCGCGCTCTGAGCTACTCAGAGCTGAGGCACCTCCTTTCTCCTTTCATTTCCGGTGGAATGAAACACATCCAGAAAAGTGAACAGAACACAAATGTACAGCGTAACAAATTGCTATGAAGTGAACCAGGCCCCGTGTGCCCTCCCCAGCTCAGCGCCACCCCCTTCCTCTCTCACAACCCCTGCCCTCGCTTTGGGGAGGCTCACATTCCTGTTTTGCTATGAAGGCTTCATCCATCACGGTGCTTTCCTGTTTTCGGACGTTATGTGAATGGAATCATACAGATGCAACCTTTGGCGTCTGGCTTCTGCTCGTTACATCTTTGAGATTTGTCCAGGTTGCTGTGCGTAGCTGTAGTTTGTTCAGATTCATCGCTGAAAACTGTTCCATTGACTGTATTGTAGTTCATGGATCCATTTTACTGTGGATGGACGTTTAGTTTGTTTGTAGTTTGGGACAATCACAGACAGTGCTACTAGGAACAGTCTTATCTGTGTTTGTGATGCATGTGTGCACAAGTTTCTCTAGGGTATGTACCTAGGAGTCTCACTCCTGAGTTCTAGGGCCTTTCACTGTTTTCCAAGAATTTTGCAGTAAAAGAGACTTCCCTTGGTTCCACATCCTTGCTAACACTTGGTATTGTCAGACTTTTCTTCATCTTTGCCAGTCTGGTGGGTGTTTAATTATGGCTTTAATTTGCATTTAGCTAATTACTAATGAGGTTGGGCACATTTTCATGTATTTACTAACCACTTTGATTTTCTCTCCTGTGAAGTGTCTATTCAAATCTTTTGCCTATTTTCCTGTTGTTTTCTTATTAGTCTATAAGAATTCTTTATATAGCCTCAATATTGTCAGCGAAATGTATCATATATCTTCTCCAACTGTATAATTGTTTTTTGCACATAGCAAGAGATAAAGATCCACTTTCATCTTCCCCCCATAGGGTTACCCCACCTACCCCTGCATCATTTATTTATAACCTGTCCCTTCCCCAACCATCTGCAACGCCACTTGCCATATATCCATATATGTGTAGGTGTGTGGCTGGACTCTTTGTTCTGTTCTATTTGTCTGTCTGTTTCTATACCAGTGCCAAGCTCTCTTACTTACTGTTGCTTAATTATGTCTTTTTTTTTCTTTTCAAATTTAGTTTATTGGATGACACCACCCAAATAACACCATGCCCACTATTATTTTTAAATTAATTTATTTATTTGGTTGTGCCGGGTCTTAATTGCGGCATGTGGGCTCCTTAGTTGTAGCATGCAAACTCTCAGTTGTGCCATGCATGTGGGATCTAGTTCCCTGACCAGGGATGGAACTCGTGCCCCCTGCAGTGGAATTACAGAGTGCTAACCACTGGACCGCAAGGGAATTCCCTTCAGGTGACTTTTAACTTCATTGAGCTCCTCATTACTTGATATTTATTGTTGTATGTGTCTAGTTTTCTGGGGTTTTTTTTAAACTCCTACATAAGACAGTATTTCTTTTTTCTTTTTTTTCTTGGAAAAGGAAGGTGTACTTTAATAGCATTTAAACTTTTTTATGATGATAAAATATAGATAATATAAATTAACCATTTTAAGCATACAGTTCTGTGGCATTAAGTACATTCACGTTGTTGTGAACCATCACCACCATCCATCCCCATAACTCTTTTCATCCTGTAAAACTGAAACTCTGTATCCATTAAATAGTAACTCCCCATTCCCCCTCCTCCAGCCCAGACAACCGCCATTCTACTTTCCGTCTTATGAATTTGACTATTCTAGTTCCCTCATACAAGTGGAATCATCATTTGTCCTTTTGTGACTGGCTTATTTCACTTAGCATAATGTCTTTAAGATTCATCCATGTTGTAGCATGTGTCAGAATTTCTTCTTTTTTTAAAAAAAATATTTATTTATTTATGTTTTGGCTGCATTGGGTCTTTGTTGCTGCGTGAGAGCTTTCTCTAGTTGGGGCGAGCAGGGGCTACTCTTTGTTGTGGTGCGCGGGCTTCTCATTGCGGTGGCTTCTCTTGTTGTGGAGCTCGGGCTCTAGGCATGTGGGCTTCAGTAGTTGTGGCTCGCGGGCTCTAGAGCACAGGCTCAGTAGTTGTGGCGCATGGGCTTAGTTGCTCTGCGGCATGTGGGATCTTCCCAGACCAGGGCTCGAACCTGTGTCCCCTGCACTGACAGGAGGATTCTTAACCACTGCGCCACCAGGGAAGCCCCAGAATTTCCTTTTTAAGGAAAGAAATAATATTCCATTGTATGGATGGACATTTTGTTATCCATCTGTCAACGACACTTGAGTTGCTTCCATCTTTTGTTTATTGTTAATAACACTGCTATGAACATGGATGTACAAATAAGTGTTAAGAGTCTCTTTTCAGTTCTTTTGGGTATATACCAGGAATTGGAATTGCTACGTCATATGGTAATTCTTTAACTTTTTGAGGAACCACCATATCATTTTCCCCAGTGGCTGCACCATTTTATGTTCCCACCAGCAATGCACAAGGGTTCTAATTTCTCCACATCCCTGTCAACACTTATTTTTTCTTTTCTTTTTAAAAGATAATAGCAATCCTAATGGATGTTAAGTGGTATCTCATGGTGATTTTGATTTGCACTTTAAGGCTTAGTGATGTTGAGCATCTTTTCTTGTGCTTATTGACCATCTGTATATCTTTGGAGCAATGTCTATTCAAGTCCTTTGCCCATTTCTTTTCTTTTCTTTTTTTTTAATGTTTATTTATTTGGCTGTGCCAGATCTTCATTGCAGCATGCGAGATCTTTAGTTATGGCATGCAGGATCTTTTAGTTGCAGCATGCTGGCTCTTAGTTGTGGCATGTGGGATCTAGTTCCCTGACCAGGGATCAAATCCTGGTCCCCTGCATTGGGAGCATGGAGTCTTACCAACTGGACCACTGGGGAACTCCACTTTGCCCATTTCTTTTTTTTTTTTTTTCGGTACGTGGGCCTCTCACTGTTGTGGCCTCTCCCGTTGTGGCGCACAGGCTCCGGACGCGCAGGCTCAGCGGCCATGGCTCACGGGCCCAGCCGCTCCGCGGCATGTAGGATCTTCCGGACCGGGGCACGAACCCGTGTCCCCTGCATTGGCAGGCGGACTCTCAACCACTGCACCACCAGGGAAGCCCTGCCCAGTTCTTAATTGGGTTGTTTGCTTTTTTGGTGTTGACTTGTAGACAGTATTTCTTTTTTGTTGTTGCTTTTTAGATATTTATTTATTTTTGGCTGCCCCGGGTCTTAGTTGTGGCATGTGGGATCTTCCTTGTGGCATGCGGGATCTTTAGTTGCAGCATGAAGGATCTAGTTCCCCGACCAGGGGTTGACCCTGTGCCTCCTGCATTGGGAGCGCGGAGTCTTAACAACTGGACCACCGGGGAAGTCCCGACAGTATTTCTTATATACAGTTTTCTTAGATTGGGTTCTTTAGAAGGAAAACCTGAAACAGGGATCTTGTGCAAGTGATTTATTGCTCTTGTGCAAGTAGTCTCAGGATAAGCTGAATGGAGGAATCAGGATAGTGCAAAGGAAAAAACATGGGAAAGAGGTGGTCTCAGCTGGAGACTAGCTTTAGCCTGGTTCTACAGGAAGCTTTGGAATGCGCCTTGTCCTACAGAGTTGGTTTTGCTTTGAGAGGACCAGACTTGTGTGACCCTGGATCAGCATTATTGGCCAGGGGTTGTCTGGGTAGGGAGATAATCTCCTGGGCAAGGGCAGCACTCTGGCAAAAGGGGCTCTCTGGGCAATTAGTAGCTAACATTCACAGCACCTGGAGAGGGGACCACTTTTAGCACCAACGTGGAATGGGGATCTGGACCGGGCATCAATGGCAATTACCAAGTCCACCCCTTGAAGTGCTGAGATCCACTTGTTTCTCATATTAAGTTCAGTCCATTCAGACACAGACTCTTCAGTATTCTCACTGGTCCCAGTATCTGGGAGAACTTCCGAGAGATGGGTAGAGGGATGAACTATGTGGCCCCCACTGCTGCAGTTGGACTCAAAACCACAAATGATACCCAACACCTCCCTTTTCCACCACCCTTTCTAGATTTCTCTTCTTGATGGCTAGGCTTTTGGCTCTTCGAGTCCCTGGGAGCCTGTGCTCACTGGGCCATGTTGCCATGCTTGCCTGTTTACAGTCACTGGGTATGGGAGAACCAAGAGCTACCCTGCCCCTCGGAATGCCTGAGTGCCAAATGCACTCCTGCCTGCCTCCATCATGAGGCTGGCAGCCCTACATACAACAACGAGGGTCGGTTACCCCTGCCAACGTGGCCACTTCTTTCTGTGCCTACTGATCTACTAACATAAGTTGTCCCACGTGACCAGGTGGCAGCCATAGCTTCAGCTTTACTAGGTCCCTGGGTAGAAATGTCCTCTTTGGTAATCCAAACCTCTAGGCTCAGTACTTAATGTCGCAGAGCAGGAAGTGCAAGTTCCTCAAGGCGTTGACTGGGTAGTCCACCTGTTAGGGACGGAGCCTCGTGAAGTGGTTACTTCTTTTTTTTTTTAAGATTTTTTTTTTGATGTGGACCATTTTTAGTCTTTACTGAATTTGTTACAATATTGCTTCTGTTTTATGTTTTTTTTTTGCGGTACGCGGGCCTCTCACCGTTGTGGCCTCTCCCGTTGCGGAGCACAGGCTCCGGACGCGCAGGCTCAGCGGCCATGGCTCACAGGCCCAGCTGCAGCGGCGGCATGTGGGATCTTCCCAGACCGGGGCACAAACCCGTGTCCCCTGCATCAGCAGGCGGACTCTCAACCACTGCGCTACCAGGGAAGCCCTATGTTTTGTATTTTTGGCTGCGAGGCATGTGGGATCTTAGCTCCCTGATCAGTGATCGAACCCGCACCCCCTGCATTGGGAGGCGAAGTCTTAACCACTGGACCGCCAGGGAAGTCCCAAGTGGTTACTTATTGGTACAGAGTATGTACCACTTCCTGGAGGACAGTGCTCTGTCCTCCCAGGATGCCATCTCCAGGTTGGAGCCTCATTTGAGCCTTCATGTGCCTAGTCCATCTCTAGTAGATCAGCAACTTCTAGATGGTACAGTTTGTGGTAGAAATGGTGGGTCCCAGGTCATGTGCCCATTGCCATACCTACTTTGCCATAAAGCAGGTCCTTTAGTGCTAGGCAGTTATGTGGGATTTCAGGTCAGCAAACCAGATACATTGTGAGCTCTTGATAATGGTGCTGGCTTAATTACTGCAGGCAGAAAAGGCAAATCCACACCCAGATACATGGCAATCTATCTTGGTGAGTATGGGTTATTGCTTTTTCTCGGGTAGAAGGGATCCAGTGTAATC